ACACACACACACACACACACACACACACACACACACACACACACACACGCGCGCGCGCGCGCGCGCGCACACACACACACACAGACACACACAGACACGCGCGTGTGCATGTGTGTGCAGAGTAATGATTTAAGGATTTTTAGTGTGTTTTACGCATTGTTTTCCATTCATCGTAGGTGGTAGGCTGTACGGAGAATTTCTGAAGAAGAGGGAGGCGGGCCTGAGACGCATCAACAAGATGTATCTCGACGACCCCGACTTCGCTCATGTAGAGGACCTCGAGGGGAAATTGGAAAGCTACATGAGTAAGCAGCAGCGCGCGCACTGCCCGCCATCTTTTCCCCGTGGGGTGTATTCGATCGTAATGGCTCTCGTTCTAAATCCACGTTAGATATATACCATCCTTAATGGTTTCATCGCAGGCGCTGAAAAAGTATGTCGAGCAGCAAATGTTACCGAAAGTAAACCCTCACATATAATGACGGAAACTGTATTTTGCGCCACCATTTTCATCGGTAATATTCATGTCTCAACGAACACCAGCTTCAAAGCGCCGGGAAGCGGAGTTCATTATCATAATTCCGCCGTAAATTTCCCCGTTCTCAACGCCCCCAACCCATAACCGACGCATCCATCTACCATATCACCCTTCACCGCATATACATATCAGCAGGAGTTAATGAAGACAAATCTTGTCAAGGTTTGTCTTCATTAACTCCTGATATCAGATGCACGCGTGCATGTGCGTACGTGCATGTGCGTGTTCGCGTGCGGGCATGCGTTCGTGCGTTTTACTGAGTGCCTGAATGTAGGTATGCGTGTGTGTTGGTGGGTGCGTGCGTGCGTGCATGCGTGCGTACATTTCAGTTCCGAGTCAAGTACCCTGAATCACCCAATTATATTGCTATAGAAATGCAGTCGAGATGCCATCAAGTATGGTTTTTGATGAGCTACATGACGAGCTTTGTTGTAACGCCGGCAGCGCTTACTATATAATACAGCTTAATCCTGTCTGTCATACATTTACGCTGCTCAATAGCGAACCTGCTATAGCGATCATGCACCGGTTCCCTGATCACGGGAAACAACCACCAGTCAGACGCTCGGAAAGAGCTTGATAAATGCAGCCGGCGTTCGGCTGCGACCCTTAGACTGGTTATAATAAGCTTATAAATAAATATATTAAAGCTTCAACGATAGGCTTCAGGGCCAGCCACTGCACGGGGCCATGGGCACATGTCCCCCTCCACAGCGCTGCCGCTGGAATCTCCACACACAATACCGCCGAGCTGCCGCCGCCATACAGGATGCTGCAGACGATATGCATTCATTCATCAGTTTCCGCGTTTCCTGTAAGATAATCGTAATAAGATGCATCGCAAGCGTGCAGAAGGCGGTGTAACAGACGCGGGGTTTTTACGATATACGTTATGCTATACGCATGTGAGCGGAACAACACACGGTATACTTATCTCTATGCTCAGGCCGCTGCGGGATGGCTGTTCGCGCTAATATACAATGACTATGTAAATTGCATACCGGATATAGGCGATCGTCACGCACGTGCGTGCGTGTATATATATATGTATATATACATATATATATATATATGTGTGTGCGTGTATGTGTGTGTGCATGTGTGTGCGCGCATGCGCGCGTTTGCGTACATGACTTCCTATAACTTACTCGCGGTTTCTGTTCTATGATTCAGGCGCGGTACGGGAGCCTTGCGGTACGCACTATCTTCTTGCGTACTCCGATATTGACTAAATCGCCTCCGCGCCCAATAACACTCAATATTCTCACAGGAGAGTATAGCTAAGGCATCATCTGTGTCTAGAGGTATCTAGAATCATAGTTATGCAAATGATCCTCGCCCTACGGCTTGCAATTCACTCCACTACCTTCTCTGTGCAACTATCTGCCGTCCTTACTTGACCAAGATCTCAGTCAAGTATCGTCCAAATATATGCCGCCGCGAATGTGAATTATCAGATGATTGAAATTTCCTAATTCTAGATCCTATAGCCATCATGGCTTGAGCTATACTCTCTGTGAAGTATTGAGTTTATTGACGCAGACGATAGTCAATATAGTTAGCAAGATATATGCGTCAGTAATCTCCCGTCGCGGCCCTGAATATAGACCCTCCAACTTACTCGGGGAGCCGTGTGGCGCCACGGCAGGCACGCACTAGCCGGTGGCGCACTGATTTTGGAGCCAATAAAAATTGTGCACGCGAACCAAGGAGCAACAGTATACCCAAGGTGATTAACCCGGGGGTGGCACTCTACCCATTATGGTAGGTATAGTGCCGGCACTCCCGCGGACGTTCAAAAATCGGCAGAGGTCTGGAACTAAGCTCTCAGACCTGAAAAGGGGGATCTTCTGGTGAACTAGAAATAGCTTGTGTTGAATGTGGTAACTCTAATGGAACCCTCGCGCTCAGCCGTTCGCAAAATGGGGGTTTCGCGAACTAGATTTCGTTTGGAATCAATGCTATGAAACCCGGACATCGTGTTAAAACAGAGGTGGTGCACCGCCTGGAGAGCTGTGTACGCTGGGGGACAGGTGTTTGTTCTTTATAAATCTATGCTCGCTAGCCATTGAACAATAATTGTTGTATTATGTACGACGGAAGAAAAACACTGACCCGGAGAGCAGATGAACGGACGCACACACACGCGCGACGCGCGCACGACATCACAACCACACACCACACACACAAGGGGGCGCATCTGTTGGCCCTGGCGCTCCACACACACAGTGACCGAACTGGGACTAAGCCGACACAACACAACACGCACACAGCCCACGCACATACACACAGCACCATTACAGCCTGCACCGCACACACACCTCACACCCACAGCACAGTCACACAGCACACACACACACACCAAACACCAACAACATCACACAGTTGCATGTCGATGCCTTCAGCGGACCCGGCTTCAACGTATTCCTGACAGTAGCGCATGCACTGGAACGGAAATATTAAAACTATATTATTATTTTCATAATTAATATTCACTGATAGTATAGTACAATCTTTGTAAACATGTTTATTACGTTATCATTCGACTCCATAATATATAGTTCTAGATACTTTAGTCCAAAACATACACTGTTTATCTACATCTTGCTTTGAAATTTACAAATGAGCCTTTTAAAATGATAGAATTGGTTGCTTTCACATCGTAGCCTAACCTGCAGGAATGCCATTTCCAGGCTGTAATTTCAAAATTTTCTGGGAGTACCCCATCAGGGCCGCGATTCGGCGTTCGCGATCGCGCGGCGGTTAGCCATGGTTACTGGGCGGCACACACCATAAGGTTCCTCATAACCGCCCATCTTGTATATTAATCAACTGGGTGAATCCTACTATTTTTTTTCTGGGCAGTGCACCTTTTGGGAGGCCACTACGGCCCTTTACAGTGTGAATACCTTTTCGGCGGCGCTCGCCCCGCCGCACCTCTCGCCTCCTCCCTCCAATCTCTCTATCTCGCTCTCTCCCGCCCTGCTCAAATGCCCATGCGTCGAATTACACTCGCCGTCTCGCAACAGCGGTATTGGAGCCGAGTTAGCGATGATAGTTATGGAGCCTAGGGACAAAGGTCTACCGTCTTCTCCGATTCCTCGTTGCGTATATCCTAATTATTATAATATTCCTTGTATGATTCGTTGTTTATATACTGGTTTTTATAGGGAGGAGAGTTCCGTCACGAGTTCGAGCTCGCCAACAACAACCGGCGGCCGAGTGGTACCTGCAGGAGAGCTGAGACGAGCCATGCCTGGAGGAAACTCGGCCACGCCACAGACGCACGATGGAAGTGAAGCAGCTCGTGCACTAAGGTGGGCGCCGACGTGGCAGTGCCGACGTCCGATCAGCTAGCCAGGATTCCTACACGTCTGCATGGTCTGGGCCCAAAATAAATACCATCTGAAATGAGGCTACGGCAAGTGTATGACGCCCGGCTATTGCGACTCGATAAACTCCGACTGAGGGCGTGGCGTGTGCGTGGTGCGCGTGGGGTGAAGGAGAATGGGGAGAGCGAGCGTTGAGGTGAGGCGTGAGAGAGGAAGAGAAGGAGAAAAGAGAGAGGAGAGGAGACAGGTCACAAAGAGAGAGAGAGAGAGAGAGAGAGTGAGAGGGCGAGCGAGAAAGAGAGAGAGGGAGAGAGAGAGAGAGAGAGAGAGACGCAAAGTAAACGAGAAGGAAAAACGAGAGTGATGAGGTAGAAAAGCCTCTCATACCTGTGATGAAAACACTGCTCACACATGATCTGTAGTGATAGCGCAGCAAAGAAATCGCGGCCCAGTTTCTATAAGCGAGGATACAGTGTCACAAAGTGTGTCACAAGGACAAGTGGCACATGTCCAGTGTCACAAAGTGGCCGCATGATTACAGCCGTCAGTAACAATTGTAGGGTTTCCTACAGATGATGAGATCGGAGTCACTCAGGCACCACGCCGTACGTGACTCACGCTCACTCGCTGCGTCGTTCTCGTCTGCAGGATTCTTATCTTCGAGGGGAAGGCCGGGGAGCCGCCGGCCAGACCGCGAGGTCCGCCCGGGAAGAAAAACCTCTCGCAGCTTCCCTAGGTCAGCAGCGATGGCTCCATCTACTCCCAGTCGGCACCAGTGGCTCCATCTACTCTGAGTCAGCACCAGTGGCTCTATCTATGCCGAGTCAGCAGCGGTGGCTTCATCTATGCCGAGTTAGCACCAGTGGCTCCATCTATGCCGAGACAGCAGCGGTGGCTTCGTCTGCCCAAAGTTAGCAACGGTGGCTCCATCTGCCCTGGACCAGTAGCAGTGGCTCCATCTCTCATACGACTTCTCCTTCCGTTATTTAGCAGATTCCTTCTACAACTAGCTCAACCCGTGTAACTCCTTCGCTCCCTTTACAGGTGCCCAGGTGCTACAGGTGTAGTGGGAGCAAAGGGGCTACACGGGTAGAGCTACTCTGGTACATACTCGCCCATTTCATCACTTGGTCATAATTACGCCTAGACGAACTCTAGTAGTAGTATTTTCCCATTTTTAGTAACCTTTATTACATCCTTATTACTGAAGACTAATTACTTCAATTTTGCATCACACAAATAATCAGTTTCGTTTCCGTATAATATGACCAGCGAGCTTCAGCAGACAGCATGAATCAGGGATTGTAGTTGATTTCGTTTTCTTTCATCTCAATGCAACTGCGCCCAATATTTTTCAACCAGTTGGAATTTCTAACACGCAAGAAGGTTGTCGGCTGTTAATCGAAAAGATTACACGCATCGAAGATTACACCAGAAACCAAATCACGACAAAACCCAGAGATAAAGTGCATTGGTTCACTTAGTGCATATAAGCATTAATATTGTAATTTGTAATATATAGGCCTAATTACTTAGATCTATTATTTAACATGGTAGTGATAGAAATGATTCTATATAAATGTACAAACATTCAGTGGTCTTGACCGAAAGGAACTATGAACAGAATTATTAACAGAACGTTGCAATAGTGGATATTTAGTTTTTTAATCAATGTCACATTTTACAGTTAATATGATAGATCATGCTACATAGATTAAATGCGATTATATCTCAGCATATAGTGCATAGATTTACACTTACATATAACCACTGCAATTGTAGCCACTAAGCAATAGCTTACGTTAGATGTTTGATTCTGAAGCTGCATTCGAAAGACAAAAAATATTATATAAAATGAGTTGCATTGTGAATTTTTTTAGACAAAAAATTATATATTTAGTAATAATAAAAACAATATAGACAAAATAGAGCATGACACGTTCGTAATGACTTTATACAATATTATCAGGAGTAAGATATTATGATGTGCGCATTTGTTCTAGGTGCAACTAGCCATAAACAGAGATCTCGCTTTGAGAGTTCACTTCAGCGCTATGCCATGTTCTCATATGCATATTATTTCCATCGTGAATATACTGCCAGTTCATTGTCCCTTGCTCATTGTGTGATGCAGTGAAAATCACGAAAATGCTACATGCCAGAATGAAGTAGGCAAAAGTCATGTAGGTATAAAATAACCCACTTTTACAAAAGCAATAGCACCGGGAAAACAAAATTAAAACACACATTTTTAGAATGATACGTACAATCATGTACACGTGGACACGTACATTTACCTTCAATTTCAATAACGATAAATCATGATTATAAAAATTCTCAGATTTACGCTGCTCTTAAGCGCACGCAGAGAACAAAAATAACGATCGCGGTGCATGGATAAGCTGATGTAGTGCAATGAGCTGCAATATGCAACGATCCCCCATCAGCCGCGAAATCCCAGTAGGTTGAGCAAGTAACGAGTGGAGATCATAAAGATGGACCAAGGATGCCACGAGAAGGAGAAAGACGGGGAATCGAAGCAGCGCAAAAATAACATGTGCACGATCAACGTCCAGAAAGAACTGTGACACATCCCCGGACGTCGTCTGAACATCTTCTTCATCGCCCCGCGCCAGCCTCTCGTCGCCGCGGCAAACACAAGGGGCATCACGTCGCTGCTGAACATCTTCTTCATCCCCTACCAGCCCCCTCGTCGCCGCGGCCAACACAGCATCAACGCGCTGCTGAACATCTCTTCATCCGCCCGCGCCAGCCTCCCCTCGTCGCCGCGGCAACACAGCATCACGCGCTGCTGAACATCTTCTTCATCCCCCGCACCAGCCCCTCGTCGCCGCGGCAACACAGCATCACGCGCTGCTGAACATTTCTCATCCCGCAACGACAAGCCTCGTCGTCGCCGCGGCCAATCACAGCATGCACGCGCTGCTGAACAGTCTTCTTCATCCCGGCCGTGCCAGCCCCTCGTCGGCCCTGCAGCAACACGGAGCATCAACGCGCTGCTGAAGCAGCTCTCTTCATCCCGCGGCACCAGCTCTCGTCGCCGCGGAACACAGCATCAACGCGCCTGGCTGAAACATTCTTCTTCATACCCCCCACCAGCCTCATCGTCGCCGCGGCAACACCAAGCATCACAGCGCTCGCTGAGGAACATCTTCTTACATCCCCCGCACACAAGCCTTCCCCTCGTTGAGCGCGCCTCTCCACGTCCGGCGCGCACAACTCGCGGCTCCAGCTCGGCGCGCACCACTCGCCTTGCGCGGCTCGACA